GTTTGGGTTCTAAATGACTTAAGTCACAAAATATGATCTGAATTCATTTTGCAACAAAAATTGCCAAAAATGGCCTCAAATGAACTCAAGATTTTTCTTTCCTCTTAAACATACAATTCACACATTAGGGTACCAAAATAGTAGTCTTTGGTTATAAAGCATGTGAGATATTCCCCACAGAGAAAATGTTGTTATATTGTAGCATACACATTCCATTGCCATTATTAAAATCTGAAACTTGTAAGGAATTTTTGGATCTGGGAAAGTGGGTCTTTACAATTTCATAGGATGGTCACAGTTACAGCTTGAATCTAGATGTTGCCGCTAAACTTCATGCAGTCATAGGAGGGGCCTTTCAGACGTGGCTGGATCTAGGGTTTGTGCTGCTGGGATCAAGGAGTGATGCTAGGATTAAGAGTGTGAGTCCCTAAGGGCAGGTGGTCCAGGTCATGTCTCTTGCTGCTGGTCATGTGCTTGCTGCTTTGGCTGTCTTCTGCCTGCCATGAACTGTTTCTCCTTTGGGATGCCCCTCTGCTATGCCAGCCTGTTTTGGAGCCAGGTGATTATGGACTGACATATCTACAAACTGTGCGCCAAAATAAATCTTTCCTCCTTTACTTTTGGTGTCACATATTATTTCGCAGCAATGAGAAAAGTGCCAAGACAGTCATGAATCATTGGAAACAGGTAGTAGCTACTAGTAAGCATCTCTTTCTTAAGGGACACTATTATTAGGCTCTTAGCAGCTGGCTGGACCAACCTTAAGAGATCAGAAGGCAAGGTGCTCACTTTTGAACTGCTGTGCTAACCAAGTAAACAGCTAATGATTTGGCTTCTCAGATGAATTTTTCTACAAGGAAAGAAGGTAGGTTTTCCTGCTTGGTGGAGATGAACTGGTTGACAGTTGTGACTTTAAAAAGTCTGCCTGATGGATAGTGTAATGTGCATTTAAGTGGTACAGGCCTCTCTGGGCTGAGATGCTGCATCCAGCTGCCATTACAAAAATCAATGCAGAGACCTCGGAAGCAGTACAAGGTCCTGATCCCTGAGGCCCACATTTTATTAGGGGTTTTGTTCCTATGTACCATGTCATCTATTGCGATAATCTCCAAATTAGTCTTTCTTCTCTCCCATCTTCACTGATTTCTTTTGTTAAAAATTCTCATTTTCTAATGAACAGAAACTCAACTCCTGATAGGGTTTACATTTAAAGCTTCATCTTGTGTGTAGTTTCACTTTGTGATTACGTGTATTCAAATTTTTAAAATACACTACCAATGGTTTATTTCTCCTGTTCCATCCTCCTGTAAATCTTACTCTTTCTTCTCTTCCATTCCAAATCAGGATACTGGCCTTCCTACAACATTCCTTTCCATAAAAAAGTCTACAACTGGAGTGGCTACCAGCTATTAGTTGAGAGGCTGGGTTTGGACTACTCATATGACTTAGCTCCACGAGCCAAAATCTTCCGGCGCGACCAAGCAAAAGTGACTGATATGACATCCATGAAATATATCATGCGATACAACAGTATGTAGCTCTGTATCTCAAGAATTCATTCTTCAAAACTCCTTTTCCTCCCCATGGATAAAGAATCATGCAAGTTTATTATCTCTGTACTAGAGAGAATTATAGGAAGTGATTTGAATTAACTATTTTCAATTAATACAATACATACTTTATACACAACAGACTTTTGATTTCAAGTGATTCTGTGGATTTTTTAAATGAAAATATTATGTGTAAAACACACAAGAAGTAACTCGTGTAGCTCTCCCTCCCCACCCACCACCCACACAGGTTTTCTCCCAAAAAGCAGATTATAAAACAAAAATTTCATAAGTGCTTTAAGAAATAATATTAAAGTCAAATTGGTATATCCTTTACTGAAAAAATGATGCACATTTATTTTCTCTTTTCCATCCACTCTTCACTGTGCAAGGTTTTGAAGCAGGCCGGGCTTCAGAGGATTTAGTTAGTTGCTCCTCTGTAACGCTAGCCAGGTGAGACGTCTGTAGCTTGGAACAGGTTAGGCTCTGAGGCCCATAGGGTGTACTCTTCTGGGCTTTTAACAGACTCCAAAATCTGACTGTAGCTAAATAAGACTTCAGAGTAGTCAAGAGTCATTCTTCTCCCTTATCACTTTGTTTCCTAGATTATAAAAAGGACCCGTACAGTAAGGGTGATCCCTGCAGTACCATCTGCTGCCGTGAGGACCTGAACTCAGCTAACCCAAGTCCTGGAGGCTGTTATGACACAAAGGTAACATGCTGCTGATGTTCATTTTTTATGAGTTTCATTACATGATCCAGGCTACTGAACTAGCTAGGTAGTCCAGGTTGGCCTTGAATTCGCGATCCTTCTGCATTAGCTACTGAAATGTTAGAATTACAGGTGTGCCCCACCATGCCAAGCTACTGACTTCTGAATTTAATTTCAATAAACAATTAGGTCAAAAGCACAGCTACAGAGGTTTTCTTAGCATAAGGCACAAGAATGTCTCTAACCATAAACCAAATTCAAGAATCAAGATTTTCCAAAGATTCTGGCACTATACTCCCACTTACTGGTAAATCTTATAATTTTGCAATGTTTCCATTTCCTCATCTGTGACTGGAAATAGTACTTACGTCACACAGTGAGAAATAAACCTTAATATCTGTAAAATGTTTAGAATTGTACTTATTTGTAAATGTATGACTGTAATAAATTTTACCAAAATTAAAAGGACATTACTGAGAACCATGTGATTTCAAGCTAATCATGACGTCAAATTAATTGAAGAAAGTATTGGACTGTGTTCAAAGGTGTCTATTTCTCACATTAGAGGTAATACGTGCTGTAGTAACCTGTGTAATAATAGCTTTGCAGGGGTGCACTACATTGGGTCATATGAACTCGAGTCAGCTGACAGTGCTAAGAGCTTAAAAACAGCCACAGTGGGGAGGACTTACATCATGGAAATCAGCAAGCATTAAAAATCAGGGCTTCCCCCAATCCTTCATCGGTTAGTAAATTGGTTAGTAATTGGTTAGTAAATTGGTTAGTAAATTTACCTGCCTACTACTGGACTTTGGGTGTGCAAAGTAAGCCACTGGATGGTGGAATCATTCTATCACATCCTTTTGCACTTTTGGTTTGGGCATGTGCCTTATAATTTGTATTTCCTGTCCTAAATTCTGAACGAAACTTTTAAGTAAACTATTCTTTAGCTCAGAAAATGATAGGACTGCCAATACCACCTTCACTTAAAACAAATTTTTCAGCTGTTTGAGGATGGCAAAGTTTTAGTCTCAATGATGCTCAAAGTGTTATTTTTTAAAAAGTGGTTGTAGAGAACCCAACACGCATGAAGCCCCTAAAACATGTTTTGGCATCTTTTTCATTCTTGCATTTAACAAAGTACCCGAGAAATGCTTTATTCATTCCAGAATGTATATACTTCTGCCGTCTTGCAGAGAACCCAAGTTCATCTGTCAAATTCTGTTGAAGGATATACAGTTTATTTTTTTAAAACACATTTTGAATAAAAGATTTTCTTTCTCCTCTAAGGGTAAGATGTGCTAGCCAGTAGCTGTTTTTGAGAACCATGGGCCTTTTTGATACTGAGTTCCTCCTACTAAACTCTTGTTACAGCACTGATGAGTAACTTTTGTGGAGGACTTAGTATGTTCTAGGCATTGCTCTAAGCATACTTTCCTTAATTTGTATCAATTCTATGAGAAAAATGAATCACAGAGGGGGGTTAAGTGATATTTAAGTTTTGGAGCTGGAATTCATTTGTTTTGAGTTACCAGACTGCAGCTCTCCCATGTGGTGACATTGTTAATATACTTCTAATAGTTAACTTATACATTTGAATGCCAAATGGATACAGAATAGCATTTAGTAGAAAAGCACAAGGAAGCTTGCAGCACAATTTTGTTTTATGAGGCTATTATTGTGAAATAGTGGGGAGCGGGGGGGAAATTAAAGGTCATGCATTTAATCAAGATTTCCATGGTTTTCTAAAATGTACTCATCTCTCCTTGCAGGTGGCAGATATCCATCTAGCATCAGAGTACACAGCCTATGCCATTAGTGGTCCCACTGTCCAAGGTGGCCTCCCTGTTTTTCGCTGGAACCGTTTCAACGATACTCTCCATCAGGGCATGCCAGAGGTCTATAACTTTGATTTTATTACCATGAAACCAATTCTGAAACCTAATGTAAAACGAAGGAGGAAGATGAGGGAATAGAAATGGCTGTAAAAGATACCAAAGATGCTTAGTTGTTTTCCATTAGAATAAAATAGTTTGTCACTTTCAACTTCTGATTCTTTTAAACTATATTCCCTTTTTTTCTGCAGGACAAGTATACTTTTGAAACATAACAATACTAGGGTTCAGCATACAAGCTAATATACAGAGGGGTATGACAGGAACTCATTTATCCAGATCCATTATTCTCTTCTTTTTATGACAAAGATTCCATCTCCCAAGCTGTCTCCTAGGCAGCTTTGCCATGAGACAGTTCTCACTCATTGCTATTGGAGGTGAATACCACTTCAAGATCCATGAGAACCTGTGTTTATTCCTTTACTTTGCTCTCCTCCCTCCGGCTTAATCACAAAGCATTTAGGGAATGTGGAGCTATGCTTTCTAAACAATCTTTGAGAGAATGCAGTTACAAGATTTTTCTGGTCATTGAGGGGCAGGCATTAATCGAATCTTTGTGGTGCAGCCTAGACAATATAGTAAACCTTACTGTTTGCTTCTTATCAAAACAGGCCATATCCAATGTGGAAGCAATCCTGTGTAGCAATTTTTCTTTCAAACTACAGAATAATATGTAAAACCAATTTTTCTTTCAAACTACAGAATGCCATGCAAAACCAAATAGATTACCTAAACCATACTATACAATATACAATGGATGATTCTAATCAATGTGGGACAATTTCAAAAGAAAACATAAAAAATAGCTGAGAAAAAACAGAATGAATCAGAGTACTCAGAATGTTAAAAATCCATTCATTTATTTCAAAGTATAAATTTTAGGCTTACTGGACAAAACCCTACTACAGTTAACACTTACATAGATATCACTCTACTGTACATTAAGGAAAAGGGATGGAGGGAGAGATGGAAGAAGGGAAGGAGGGGGAAAAGAAAATAAAAACCTTCAAAACTTAACAAAAACAGGGCAACGTACTACAGCCCAGTTAATATTAGACAAATTGTCTTCTTATTTACACTTTTCAACTGCAGTGAACAAAAAAATCTGGATGCAAGTTTCCTACAAAGAGTTTATTTTTATATTTATTTTTGAAATTGCTGATAAAATACTAAAGTCAAGATACCCAAGGTGTTTTGATTGCCCAGTTACCTTATTTACAAGAGAAAAAGTATTTAAATATAAACGATAAGTACTTAATTGACTCTACAAATAAAAAAATAAAGAAAAGCTTATTTGAATGTGATAAAATGATTTGAAGACGATAATATAAAATGTGTTTATACTATCATATTCCTTCCTTTAGGGGATCCAGGGGATATGAGACCACCATACTAACCTTACATAAAAATTGCCAATTGTATACCTCAAAATCCAAAAACAAATGAAAAATTTTCCCAGTAATAGTTAAAGGAAGGCAGAATCATATACTGGTTTTAGTTATTTGCAATAATCTAATAACCAGGACATAATTTTTGTAAAAACAAGAGTAAAACAGGCCAGTCACAGGTCAGTAATAACAAAAAGAACAAATAATCATGATATATTGAGGATACTGAAAGGATCCAAGAAGGAAAGTCAGAATACTTGGAAGGTCTCTGTAGTACCCTACTGTGCTAAGATCACAGTACTATATATAACAGTGAGAGATGAGACCACCACAGGCATTATTTTTTAATCTTAATACAGTATTAGAAAACATGGAAAAAGATAAATGTATATCATGCAACACTAACACTAACTTTGCTGCATAATAATTTGGAGATTATTTAAAGCAAAAGAGCAAGTAACAAAAATTAAGTTATTCAGTGCTGTAAGAGAAAGTTCTGCAGAGAGATGCACCAAGGTAAGGTCCTAAGCTGTTTGCTTTAGGTTATTTTATTTAAGGTATTTAGTGTCAGCCAATGAGGAAAGGGGAGAGAAACACTTCTCTGGGAGGCAAATAGTGTCTCAACACTCACTCACTTTTCAAGGAAGCTCTCTACTTCTGTGTTATATACTGTATAAAACAGTATAAATCATTCTGCATAATTTTAAAAGTGAGTCCAGAGAAACAGAGGAATATAGTCACTTCATAAAGAATATAGTTACTTCATAAAGATAACTATTAACAGATACTGCCTTTATATGTCATTTTAAAATTTACTGGCAAGAACAAAATTTTAAAAAGAGGTTACTCACGCTTAAAACAGGGTGAAAGTTACTGACATAGTGCAAAGTAGTATCAAATGTTATTGTTACCTCTAAATACCATATAAACATTCTTTATTTCAGGTTGAAATATCAGAAATTTCCAGGATTTCCAATAAGACAGTATCTACACAAATATTGTCAGGATAAATATGTAGCAAACTTGCATTCTTAAAATGGGATAACTGAGTTATTGGAAACACTCTGTAAAAATATACCATGAAATAAAAAAATAAAAAAGATAACCATGGAGTGTGAAATGCTACTACAAAGTCTAAGTCCTTCACATTCTCTTTCCCAAAGAAGATAAACAAAAAAGCTAATATTTATCAAAATTAAACCTATCCTAAAAAAGCCCAGCATTCTAGTCTATCACCTCAATAAATCCAATATGTCTATTGCCTGTAAACCCGTGTTACAATAATTTTGAGAAAATCAACCAAAAATATGCTTTTGTTATTAAATAATTATAATCTCTTTCTACCTTCCACTGTCTAGAATAAAAAGTTTCATGTAATTATTTTCTGGAATAATGTATCTTTAGAGTTCCTTTTTTTCCCCCAATTGATAGAAAACACCCAATACAGGCTAAAATAATACAAAATATTTGTTCTACTGGGCTTTTTCATCTGAGCATATAATGCAATTAAATTTTTAAAAAACAAGATTAGTGAATATTAATAAAAATGTTCAATGAGGGAAATTTTTGTAGACCAGGTAAAGAAATGTTTACCATGACATTGAAATCAGCCAATAAACTTTTGAATATGAGCTTTCTATTTAGTAGAGCAAAATGAGCTTTGCCACATAATCTACATTACAAACACTGCAGGTAAAAACATGTATACAAGCAGATATAGATGGATGTTCATACGTATCTTTAAGTCAATTTTCTCCTTTTGAAATTTTCATTCTCACAACAGTGGAAACTTCTTACCATAATTTGTCCTAGAATGAGTAGTATCTACATAGTGGGGAAATTTGATTCATGGAAAAATAATTCTCATTGTCTCAAAGTTTTGAGAGGAAAATGGCTTAGAGTGTTTATATTTGGTAAATGTTGCCATCCTCTATTATTAATCAAACCTCACACCTACGATAACATTACAGTGACCAGTAAAGGTCTCTAAAGGTAATTTTACAACTAGAATAGTACTTCCTATTAAAAGTCATCGAAGTTGTAAACTAATAAAAGGAATAGCCCCCACCTATAATTCCAGAAAAAATAATGAATTTAGAGAAGTTAGAAATATAAATGCAAAACATCAAGGGAAGAAACTTAAGGTTATTTCACAAACTCCATGAATACCTTTCAAAATATTCTCAACCACACTCATCCCTAAAATTTAACCCAGCCCTCCTGTCCTAAACTATCTACACTGAAAATACCTACCTGATAACCAGTATAGCTTGCATTCAATACTGAAAATATATGACTGAATTTTATTTTTGAAGAGTGGAGATACACAGTTGGCTATACCTAACTGTTATATGAAAGGGGATCCCAACAGATATACTTTAAATGCTATCCAAAGCAGATAAAGGCTAAATCAGGCTCAACTTGGCACAATCAAAACTGAGATTAAAAATAGGATAACATGAGAATAAAGAGGAAACATAGCTTTCCCCTTTATATACTAGCTCACTGTATTTTATGCACTTTATTATTTTCTTCTTTGAAAGAATATAGAGATAATGTAAACTACAAGTGCTTTAGAAATCTAATGTAGTCTGTAACATGGATGCAGAAATAGGTTTGATGGAAACTTTTCGTTCACCATATGGTTTTCTCTTGGTCCATTGGTCCATTTTATGGAGTGTTAAGTAATAACCAAAACTGAAAGTTATCCATACACTTAGGAAAAACTGGCAAGTCAAATGCAGTGGTACCACAGATTTGGGTTAGGGAGTATACAAAAGGCCTTGATTCAAAAATTACTGGAGAGGTATATGCCAAATATGGTGGAGATAAAAGAGAAATTAAGGTGGGAAGGCTAAAAGAGAAGAGTAAACAACAGTGTATGGCCATATTTATTTCTATAGCTAACCTTTAAGGCACAAATAAATGTGAAAGCCAGATTAGGACAGGATGGGGAGGGGTTCTGTAGATTGTTTTTCACCTAACCACCCAGAACAAATAAATGAAAAAATGAATAGATCCTTTCCTGTGTTCAAATTAATCTATTTTAAGCTAGCCATTTTGCTTTTTCTTTACTTCTAAGTTTTGTTTATAGATTTAGTTTATATCACTGAATTATGATTCTATAGAACCCTTATGAGAATCACATCAGTTACATACCTAAGATTCTTTGATCTATTCACTTCATACTGAAAGAGAGGTAAATTTGAGAATGAAAATGGGAGATTCCACTGCAGTGAATACACAAATAGGAAAAAACAAACAAATAAAACAAACAAACAAAAAACCCACACAAAACCCATACATATTCCCCAGACTCATAACTAAAGACAGTACCCATTTATAATTCAAAACCCTGAAGCTTGAATTGTCCAGGAAAGATTGTTGCTTTATAGGCTGAGTTTATTTTGCTTCTGGTTATAAACAAATGTAGTGTATACACACATCAGTCCAAGAAATCTTGCACAATGTGGATTTTACATTGGGTAACATGCACAAGATTAAAAACAAGACTAAAAAGTAGAATTTCTGAAACAGGAAAAGATAAAGGCTCCAAGGTTTAACTGCTCTGGGAAGAAGAGATCACATCAGTTGACTGAGGATCACAGAATGGTCCAAAACGTCCATAAATATCCTTGGCTCGGACTGCGAAGTAGTACTTGCTGCCAGACACAAACTGGGTAAGAGTGCATGCCATGGGCAAGGGGAGTGCCTTCACTTCCCCAATCTTCTTCCACTGTGAGGGCACGGTGGCACTGGGCTCCTCGTGGTAGGCATAGAGATGATAACTATCAACAGCAGCACAGCTTCGATCCACCTCCAGGACACTCCAGGACAATACAATGCCATTCTGACTCTGAACTCGTGCTAACTTCAAGTGTGGCTTCTGAGGCAGAGATGTGCTGGCAGCTTCTGGGGGTAGACGCTGTGGTTGTGGGGCTTCTGGTAAGGGTGCTGGGTGCACAGGGCGTGGGGGCTCCTAAGAAAAGGAGAACCATTTTGATTTATTGTGATCACAGAATTGTATTAGACAGTGCTTTAATTAATGCCAGAATTAAGACACCTTATAGATAATAGACATACCTTTTTATATTTAAAATTTTATATTTAGAAGTTTGGGAAATACCAAATACTGTGACAATTTTGACAATTATGAAGTAGTGATTTATAACCAATCATGCCAAAAACAGTAGTGCTATGGCTATTCCTACTAACTTCCTATACCTAAAATACTGGTATATTCTTGCCAAATAAAGTTTCTGCTGAAGAAACAGCATTGAGATATACTACAGATATAGAAATATCAATCTACTTCTAACAAGAGATTCTCAGTTTAGAACAGCATTTTAAAAAGTCATAGCTAGAGGTGGTGGCACATAGCCTGTAATCTCAGTGTTCGAGGCCTGAGGCAGGAAGATTATTGCAAGTTTGAGACTAGTCTGGGCTACAAAATGAACTCAAGGCCAGCCTCATCCTGCCTCAAAAAGACATACATACAATAAAAAGTCACATACAGCAATCTATCACATGAAATTAGGAATGCATAACTATACTTTCATTTTAAAATTTCTGCATTATAAATATAGAATACTCATAATTAAGCATATTTAGTGAATGTGTATTATTTTCTTGGTTAGTATGCATGAGAAAGGTAGTATTTAAATAAATTTTGAAGGGCCAGATGATAAAAAAGCAAGAGACTCACTCCACCAAAGAAGACACACACTCAAAATCAAAGGATAGAAAATGCTACTTCAAGCAAATAGGAACTTGAGGTAAGCAGTAGTACCTGTACTTACAGCTGAAAAAATAGACACTAAGGCTAAACTGTATAAAAAGCAAAGAAGTCATTACATAATGATCAAGAGATCAATTCAACAAGATGTAACAATTATGAATCCACACACACTTGGAGTCACAACACTCAATTTTATAAAATAAACTAGCAGACCCTGAGTTGAAGCACTGCGAATACTCTGGCTGCACTGAAATCATACCACATAAACCTTTAAATTGCTTTGCTTCTCACACTAGCTTGAGTTAATAACAATCACCATTTAACATTCTTGTGACAGTGGATACCTAAGAGTACTTCAAGTACTCTAATACTACTTTATTTCACTTCAGTGAAATACAAAAAAAAAAATTGAAACTGCTAAAAGCACAGGCTTTTGAGTTGGAATGCCTGGGTTCTTATGAAGTATGACCTTAATGCAATTATCCATTCTCTCTGAACCTTAGCTGCCAGAACTATTTTTAAAAAGTCTTAAATGTTCTTTACGCAACAGCTTAAAAGGACTCTCTGTAAGGACCAAGTATGTTTACAATGCTTGGAACATAGCAAACACTAAATAAATGCTAGTTATTGTTGTGAGTACTAAAAGTTGTTTTATTAGATAATAATAGATTCGATTACTTGCCTTCCAAGTCGTAAGTCAGCACTTCCCTTTATAAGACATTCCATAACAATCAAATACTGTCACAATCCTGTCCTAATAATGTGAAATCACTTTGGAGGCTAAATTATAAGGACAAACTTTTAGTTTTATCTGTCCTGTCTTAAAGTGGACAGGTTAGAAATGGTCTATTTCACTTTATTTGCCCAGTCACAGACCTATTTCTGCACACGGTATAGAACATTTATTTGTAATGATAATACTAATTTTCTTAAATAAATTTCTATTAGAAAAGAAAAACACCTGTTTTTCCCTTTGACATTACTACTTTAAAGAAAAATGTTAAGTACAAAAAACATTTGACAGAACTTCTGGGAAGATGGCGGAGCAGTAAGCAACAGATCAGCCCCTCTGAGATTCTGAATGCAGACTGGAATATAACAACTTGCAGAAAAAGGAACGGAGATACACCCTTGGGCCCCATGAAAGATCTGAAAGGAGAATTGAATCCCATGGAGAAATTGAAGAGAAAAGACTCCAATGAAGAAAAAGGAAGTACAACTTGTACTTTCTTCCTGACTCCAGGCGAGAAGAGGCTCGAATCCACAAACACAGGGGAGGTGGATGACTCCAGAGGGTTCACTAAGAAATGCAGCAGTGGAACAGAGCAGTGGATGCTATGAACATTGGTAGGTAAGTGATTTCATTCCAAGACAGTGAATCAGGCTTGAACTTCTGTGGAGTTGAAAGCAACAGAACTGGCACTCTGCCCTAATACTACTGCAGGCTTGCTGGGATCATGCAGGACAGATGATCAGACCTCTGTCAGACAGCAGAGACATGGTAGTATCACAAAATCATAAACCCCCAAAGATAACCACAAGCCTAAAATCAGAGAAATTTGTTTTTCTTTTATTTTTTTTTTTCTTTTTTAATGTTTTTACTTTTTCTTATATGAACTTTTTTTAGTTTTTTGAACTGTATTTAGTTTTCTTGTTGCCTTTTCCTTCTTTCTTTTCCTATCTTCTTCATTTGTTTCTCAAAGCCTGGATAATCTATCTTTATCCTTCACCTTTGTTTCTTTCTAATTTCTTTCTCTTCTATTATTTCTCTATACCAATACTAAGACTTGTGTGAGGATAACAATCAATATATAGTTCAGCACCAAAGAATTGAGTTCTAAGTCAAATGCAGCAACTTCTTATCCCTAATAAATGGAAGAGGCAGGATCTTGCAACAGACTGAACACCCAAAGCCCAGCTATACCTAGAAGACATCTCTGGAAAGCAGTCCCTTCCTAGGAGGTCTCAATACCAGTAACAAAGTTATCTACCATAAATAATTTAAAACCATCAATAAAATTTTAAAAAATTGAAAATAAGATACAGAAACAAGACATAGTCCCAGACCTCTAATTCACCCAAGTCAAATCCAGGGAACACTGAAGCAGAACAAATCAAAAGCCACTCACTTCAACTTTATGAAATGGAAGCAACAAAAGTAACAAAGAAGATAAATAAGGCTCCAGAAGAGAACAAATCAAAAATAATTTCATAGGTAACTAGGTAATGACCATAATAAAGGACATGATTAGTTTAACTCTCATATTTTACACAGGAAAAAAAAAATAGAGGAGCTTAAGTGATGGCAACCATAAATGCCCCACAAAGGAAACAACTGGATTCCATGAAACAGATTTAAACATATTTCTAAGAGATTAAAAATTTCACTGAAATTACATGCAGCAGAATCAACAAATATGAGGACAAAATATCAAGACCTAGAAGACTGGTTACAGTTAGTGCTCATCAAATGAAAGACTTTTTAATACAGTAAGGGACCATGAAAAATCAAACCAAGAGCTGCTAGATGATTCAAAGAACAACATCACAAGATTGGTCAATGAAAAAAAAAAACAATAGAAAACATAAATGACATAAAATACCTATTCACATAAGCAATGGCAGAAAAACATACCAAGCATGGAAAAAGGATATACTATACAGGTAAGTAAGGCATACAGTACATAAAAAGAAACCACATCAAGGCAGATAATAGTTAAGATTCCAGAAATTGGGGGCAAAAAAAAAAAAAAAAAAAAAAAACCCGGAAGATTGAAAGCTGTTAGAGAAAAGAAACAAATCACCTGGAAAGGGAAGCCCATAAGAATTACAACACAGAAAGACTTTCAGGAAGATTGGAGGAGTGGTAAGCAGCAGAGAAAGAATGTCTCCAAGATCTGGTATCCAGACAGTAGAATATAGCAATGCAAAGAAAAGGAGGACATGGGTCCCCTGAACTTAGGAAGGAATGATCTTACGAAAGCCCAAGAGGAAAGCAAAGAGAGCAACTTCAACCAAGAAGGGGTGGTAGGCAGCACCTTCTACCTAAGTCAGAACTCACTGGGTGGATGGATCAGTATAAACTTGCAGGCACAATTACTGCTGGCAACCCCAGAGGCCTCCACAGGGAGATGCAGCAGTGGAATGGAGCAGTGTATGCCACTGACTACACAAGCAGGTGAATGGTGCAGATTCAGCAGGAGAGGTCAACCAACTAGAAGCCATCTTTGAGAGGGGTCAATGGAGCTCAAAATTCACAACAAGGGATGTGGCCACACCTAGTGGCTCCCAGCTGTACACTGCTGCAGGCTAAATGGGTCTCATTCCAGCCTCACGGACAAAAACCAGTCTGAACTTTTAGAGGAAATAAAGGTGCATGCTTGCCAGTATTATCCACCACTCCACTGTAAAACTACTGATGGTTTGGTGGGATAAATCAACACAGATGTGGACTCTTTCCACATATTGTCTACCAGTGACAGCAGTGACACACTTTAGAGTAGACTTTTCTCCTCTCTTCATTTTTCTGGGGTTTTTTTTTTGTTTGTTTGAGTTTATTTTTATATGACTGTGAGTGTGGTTTCTAGATTTTTTTGTGGATGTTCCATTCTGTTCCTTTTCTCTTTTCCTCCTGTCTTCTGTACCAGTTTCCCATGCATGATCTTGCTTGATCTTGCTTTGTCTTCCAGACTTGCTTCTAATCTCTTTCTATTTCTCTAGTTTTCCCCTTAAACCCTTTTAAATTTTCTCCCTTGAGGGTAAAACTGGCATATTGAGAGCTTATTTACTGCATAGAATTTTCTGGTTAATTTGAGATTTTTTTATGTAACCACAAATATAGTTCATATGGTTAAAGGTGACAAATTAATGGCTACCTTAGTTTCACAATTTCTAGGCTGTGTCTCATGTTATGGCTGTTGCTGATTGTGACACTTTACCCAAAGTGACGTAACTGTTCTAACCAGCTGTTTGTCCTAGTATACCAAGACAGAAATTGCTGAAAGGTCATAGACAATACTGTGGGCCAGTGCCAAAGAACCAGGGGCTGAGCCAAGTAGGTAGCAACTTCTCATCCCCAATAAATTGAAGAAGTACGATCTTGCAACAGACTCAAAACCTAAAAGACAGCTACACCCAGAAAACACTTCTGAGAAGTAGTCATTTTATAGGAGTTCTAAATACTAGCAATAAAGCTACTCACCATAGGCCATTTGTAAGCATTAACTCAAGAATTAAAATTT